GTGTGATCAGCTTCAGACCTTGCCTTCAGATTATTTTGGGGATATCATTGGCAAAGGAGTAAATAACTGGGCAAAACAACATTATGAATTTTTCAATTCAAAGAACAAATACTATTATCGTCAGTGATCTGGTAGAAGGTGTCATCTTTGATAAACAGGACCCAGCTCTCTCACACCACATGAAATCAATGCAGGCTTGTACTTATTTGCCAATATATCAAGCCACTGCAGCGGTCTTTCTGTTGCTCTTTTGTTTTAGTGATTAGTGTCTGCTATCACTGTGACAATTTGGGGGCCTTCTTGAAAGCAGTAAAGCTATCAAAAGCAGCTCCATTAGTGGTTTTGTTTTTGTTTTATTTCACGTTGTAGCAAGCTCTGAAAGCTGTCAGGAACTATCATCTCATCACTCTTCCGCCAGCTCCTTGGCACAAACAAGCAGAGGGAGAGAGAGAGAAAAAAAAAGAGGCAAAGAACAGCATAAATAACCGAGTAAAATTATCTGTAAATTGGATCTTCTTAGGCATCAAGAGGAAGAAATCAAAACAGACAGGCAGGCAGCAGAGAAACAACGACAACATTTTTACACTGGTTCCCATTGCTCCAAAATCACTAATGTGAATAAATGAGATCTGTCTCAATCCTGGGGTCTTTGGTTGAGAGAAACAGCACTGGTAGACTCAGAGACTGGTAAAGAAGGGCCTACTTCAAGTTACTCATCATTGGTCCATTTGGTCAATGGGGACTAGATACTAACTCTGCTGATGCCGACGGAAAGACTCCTAGGCCGTATCCAGAAGAGCGTGGATGTGCGGTATGTGGCATCACAGACCACTCTGTGGCACCACACACTCGGCATGCAGGCATGCACTACGCTGCTACCTTGCAGCATTTGGGGAGCAGGGGGATTGAACCTTGAGAGATTCTGAGGTCAAAAAGCCCCACTCCATAAAAAAGCAGGGGCAGCAGCAAGCGCTGCCCAAAAGCAGAGACTGGCCTGCCACAGCCACACTCCCTGAGCCCCCCAGGACCCCAGGTAAGGCTGCTAGGGCCAATATAGTTGCTGGCCTTGGCCTTCCCTACCACACCCAGCATAACCAGCTGAGTGCCAGAGTGCATGTGTGTTCTCCGGGGATAAGTAGCAGTGGCACAAGATGTGTCGCTGCTACTTGTCCCCGGGAAACAAACAGCTGCACTCGTCTAGACATGACCCTATTGACCTTGATAGACTTTGGCTTCCTTGAGCTTCTATTCAGGAAAATACTTAAACCTGTGCTTAAAAGTTTATTTCAAGGGATGTTTATAAAAGGGGACTTAAATGCGTCTTAAGTGCTTTGTGACATCCACACCTGAAAGAATAGTATGGTTGGGTCTGATTGGGAGTCCTTGCCACTCCAGGCAGAACTTAGTAGATGGTGATTTCAGTGTGGGGCCCTTAAGGAGGGAGTTGTAATTCAAGGAAAATGAACATAACTGAATTAAGACAGTATGGCCGCTGTTCTGTGTGATGCCATTTCCTGCTAGAAGCATTTCTGTGATCCCCTGGTGTGAGCCAGGGGGAATGAATTCGGCTTGCTTGCTGAAAGAGTCATTTCCCAAGACACTGGAATGCTGTGGGAAGCGTTTGTAGGCTGTCAGCCTTTGATCAATCAACTTAATGAACAGCTCCACCCTTCCCTTTGAAGACAATGGACCCAATCATCAGCTGGTATACATTGGTGATATGCCTATGCTAACAAACTGGCAAAAAGTTTTGAGCTGTGTGCTGCCAAATTGTAGTATTTACATAGACTGTTCTCTGTTTCTTCATGCAATCTTGTGAGATTGTACATGGCTGTTGGATCTGCAGTGATTGACCTTTTTTTGACAAACAAAAACAATATGCTAACAGCTAAACTTTGATGTTAGAAAGGCTCTGAGGCCCCTGTGGAATCAAATGCCAGTTTGAGGAGAGGAGGAGTACCCTCAGGAAACCTATTATCCTAAGGGAAATGGTATTTGGATGACTTCATATCTTAGAATATCCTTCATATCCTAAAAATTTAGCAGGTATTACAGAAGCCAGGATTGCAGCCTGTTTAAGAACAATTCTAGTTAGCGAGATGCAGCTCATATCCTACAGAATGTAGTTGGATGCATTTAGTATCAGACAAAGCAATTAAATAACAATGACAACGTTAAAGGAGCTGAAATACCTTGAGTTTTATTGGTGCCATCAAATTGCTTCATAAACACCACATGAAAGATGCTAGCTGAATGTTTTGCAAATGGATACCTCTGTTGCTCCTGGGCATCTGTACTTGGGAGGCTTAGCTGAAACATTTGTGTTGCCTTAGAGTGCCCAGTGTTCAGAGGTTGATGCTGAGACATAAGATAATGAAATTCAGAGGGAAAGAAAACAACTGCAAGATCTTAGCATTTATTTCCACTGCTAGTTGAGGATTTTTCCCAGGAGTGGGTTAGCTGATATTTTGACTAGTCCTAACTCCTGCTCTTTCATCTGGTCTGACTCCACTTTTCTTTGGATGTTGGTCTACAGTTGGATAGGTCTTAATTCTTAAAAAAAATTTTCTAGATGGCAAATTAGTGTTTCCTTTGCTCATAGGATCACAGGAAAGTAAGGCTGGAAGGGACCTCACAAAGTCATCTAGTCCAGTTCCCTGTTCAAGGCAGAATCATTCCTCATTAAACCATACCAGTAAAATATCTGTCTAACCTGCTCTTAAAAACTTCTAAGGATGGAGAATCCACAACTTCTCCAGGTAGCCTTTTCCAATGCTTAAGCACCTTCGTGTTCATAAGGTTCCTTCTAATATCCAGCCTAATTTCTTATGCTGGAGGTTGAAGCCATTGTTCACTTTCATTGCTTCTATTAATAGCTTTTCGAAGTCGACTCATCAGTTCTTGGAGATATGCCTATCAGGGCACTTTCAGCCCATTTGATCATTCTAATCACTAAATCACTAATTTGATTAGTCAAATTAGGCATTCTGAGAAACCTTGGTGATGCCAACATGTAGCAGGGTATCTTTGAGCTAGCATGAGTTAGTGTTCCTGGTGCTCGTCCAGGGCATGTCGCAGGAGACAGGACATAAGGAGCTCTCTGACTTAGATGAGTTCCATATAAGGGCCAGGGATGAATCCAGTTTTGGTACTTGTGATCCATTTCCTCTTTGTGACACCAATTCAATCCCAAAAGACTGGCATAAGGTATTGGTCACAACTCTTAAAGCTTCCTGCAAAAATAGGCTGACTGCTGCAAAGGGAACAGGTTAAACTATTGGAAAATACCTTTAAGTTTATGCATGCTCCCCTTTATTTCTGCTCTGAGCTCTGTGGCTTGCCTTGCCTTTTACAGGAATGGGGTGAAAGACAAAGGCATTGCAACAGTACAGGCCGTCCCAAACAACTGATGGGAGCAATAGGCACTTGAGAGATACATTTTACTTGGTTTTCCCTTCCCTGATCCATTTCCATGGTCTGGTTCCTGGGTTTTGTACTAGCTGTGTTTTTTTCCCCTTGTTTTGGTTAATAATATTCTTGTGTTCATCCATTTTATGCAGACAGTTAAGTGAAGTGCTCCTACATGTGACTTATTACTTTATGAATGCGATTTATTTCTTAGCATTTAATAATTTGAATAATGAAGTGCAATTATAAAGCTCCATAAAGATTGTTATTTTAAGAAGAATAATGAAAGAAAGAAACCTAAGTGATGCTCTGCTGTGACTCTTATAATGCAAAATTCCCCTTTGGTTTAATTCTATTTAATTGCTCAGCTTTACTTGAATTGTTACCATTCTGCAGGCTTTCTCTAAGTTGTAAGCAGCAGGCTAATAAATGTGTGCATTTTTAAAAAGCTCCCTTGTGGGACATAGCTATCAATTCTATTTCCCTACCCTTCCCATGATGGCTGCGCCTGCCTCTCAGTCAAGCCCTTCTTGGTATTGCAACTTGGGAACCATGTACTCTTCTATCTCTCTTTGTGCTTTCCTAGACTAGATAAGAAGTCTTTATATTCTCCTCAGAGAGCCAATCTGACAAACTGACTAAGCCACAGTATGGATGAGTGTTATTACCATTTGTAATACCAGAAAGATGGGGAATTCTCTTTCCTCTTATGGCCCCTTCCTGCTATAAACACTCATTCCTTGGATCAAGAGAATTTCTCTGACATAGGCACTCACTAGGACAGAAGTATGGTGTTCTGACACAAGTCTTTTATAAATGTGTATAAGGATTAGAAGATATGTCTAGGCAAAAGCATATGTGGATGTAGTGTAGAGGGTAAGGTGTATTCTGGACAGCTCTTGGAGATACCTAAATTGTGCCTGTATCATTGTAGCCCCCAACCAGACCACAATCCACCTTTGATTCCTGAACGTGTTTTTTGCTCCCTCAAGAACAAGAAAGGAAGTGACTGGTTTTGTGGTTAAGACAAAGAATTAGGACTCACTAGTTGAACCTGTGCCTCACTGTGGAAGATTAATTTGATTTTTAAATTTTTAATAACTTTTTGTCGTTATCATCATCATCTTCACTTCATGGTTTATGCATCATTGCCTCTTCCAACTTCAAAAGTTTTCAGTCCATCTTTTCCATCTGCTTGCTTTTCTTGTAGACTGTAATTGGAATTTTTGACATGGGTGAGCTACCTACCCCCCATGATCTGGCCTCTGAATCTGGTCTCTGGAATAAGAGATTTAAGTAATATAGATTTCTATGACTGACTTTGTCGCACACTCAGTGAGACCTCTGTTCTTGTGACTGTCTCTGTGCCCAAGTGTCCTATCTATCTGTAAAGCTTGGATAATAAAGGTGCCCTCCTCTACCCTTTGTTTGCTGAGGCTGAAAGCACTTTAGGCTTGGGATTATCTCATAGTGTGTATATATGCAGACCCTAGCCCAGTGGGACTGCTAGCGACCACTGGGATATAGAAAATGATGATAAGAATTGCCTGGATCCTATGACTGACCTTATTTGTTTCCTCCTGTTTTCTCAGCTTGGTGGTTGTGGGATCCTTGGAGTGGGCATCTGGCTGGCTGTTACCCAAGGAAACTTTGCTACCCTCTCCTCCTCCTTCCCATCCCTCTCGGCTGCCAACCTGCTTATCGTCACAGGGACTTTCGTGATGATCATCGGCTTTGTGGGCTGTATAGGTGCCATCAAAGAAAATAAGTGCCTCCTGCTGAGTGTGAGTATAAAACTACTGCCTAATCAGCAATGCTATCAGCTGTCTGAGTGTTGTTGCAATGCATGGAGAGCAATGTACAGTGTTTAAGCAGTGAATTGGTCAGTTTTGAGCAAAGAGGAGTGTGGGTAACCACCACCTTATTCTTGCCTGACTAAACCTGCTTCTATTACACTCTTCCACTGAGCATAAGAGACTCATGGAAAGGTTAATAGGGGTGGGGCTCCCTGGTACTCTTGGGAGCATGAGGGATTTATACAGATGGCTTTTGCAGCATGACCTTCAGTTCTTTATTCTTGTTCCCTCAGCTTTGACAGCTTCATCCTTCTGTGGCTACTTTGGTGGGGGTGGGTGATGTGATGGCCTAGGACAGGGATCAGTGGAGACGAGGGAGAACATTTTGAATTTAGCCTAAATGGGATTGACAGTGAAAAGATGAGATGTCAGCAGATAAAGGTCCCAGCATAATGACTGATCTTAAATGAAAGATTAGTAAGGGCTTTGTGATTTAGCATGTGTTACCAAAACTTACTTTGATGCCACTGCTACACTTGCTTTGTTGCAGCTGGTGCTGATTGTGATCAGTGTTGGGTGACTAATTCTAACAACCAGAAAGCCGGGCAGGATGGTACCTTAGCATGCCTGTAGACATGTAGGACATCTGCTGCAATGCGCTGTAATTACAGCGTGTCAGAGCAGACTCAATTCATCGACTCTGCTGGAGTGTGCTAATCAGCACGCTCCAGAAGCCTCCACGTCTTGTGTATTCAGTGTCCCTGCACTTCAAAATGGTAGCAGGGGTGCTTTAATTACGCTCAGTGAATGAGCTTTAGTTCAAATGCCCCTGTCGCCATTTTGAAGCATGGGAAGCTGAATACATGAGATGCTGAGGGCACTTTAATTAAAGTAGCTCCCAAGAGCTGCACTAATTAAAGTGCCCCCTCCCACCCTCTGGAGCACATGTAAAGACACCCTTAGAGGCTAACTGGTTCAGAGAGGCATAAACTTTTGCCAGCAACAATCTGTTTTGTCAAGTGCTAGGTCTGTTCTAATGGGATCAGCAAGGTGGTGCCATTATGAACTTGCTGTTTATTTATCCTGAAATGTAGAAGGTTCTTCACCTCAAAACTGGATTGAGGACAGTAAGGTTAAACTCAAAAGGGGGTAAAGCTTGGAATGGGTCTGAACTGATCCCCCAGCTATATTGTAGTATCTGTGCAGAAGCTGAAGAATGTAGGGGTCTAAGACGTGTGGCTACTAGCTCAGTTCAGCAGCAGTGTGGCCTGACACGGTTTCATATCTGTGGTTAAGCACCAGATTAAGTTCATTCCTGCATCAAGGGTAGGATGGATCTCAGTTCTTAGCTACTCTTGATCTACTGTGTTAGCACTGAGCTGAGGTTATGCTGTTAGGTTGTGTAGCAATAAGCTAGATTGATATTACTGCACATGATTCGATAGTGCAAGCCCTGTGTAGGTTGAGAAGATATTTTCTTTTCAGTCAAAAGGCACAGCTACAGTTAGTGAAAGCAGTCAGGGCAGTACCTCAATGAAAATCCTGTGGAACAGGCTTGTCCAACTAGTGGCCCACAGGCCATATGCAGCCTACAAGGGGTTAATCGCGGCCCCTGGTTTCTCACCCAGCCTCTGCTCCCCCAATTGCTTCAAGCTTCCACTTTCTCCAACTTTCCTGTCCTGTTGTGGCCCCAGAGGATGGGGGGGCTGCAGCCTGGGGTGCTGGAGTCACTATAGTGCACAGGGGGAGCTCATAGCCAGGAAGCTAAGGGTGAGTGAGCAGCAGCAGGGGCGGGGAGAGCATAAGATGCAGCCGTAGGGTGCCCAAGTATGCAGTGAGGAGGCACCCTGCACATAGTGCAGTGGCAGAGGTGCTTGGGTGCGTGGTGCAGCAGGGAGGCATACAATGCAATCAGGGGGCACCCAGGCATGTAGTCGAGGCGCGGTTCATGCAACTGCTGCTAGTGTGGCTTGAGGGGGAGGGGAGTGTGGTTCCTGGCAACTTAGAAGTTGGACAGCCCTGCTCTGGAAGAAACCTTACCTTTGGATCTTAATCCACCAAATCTCATTGCAGAAAATTGCCTGTATTTGTTGCCCTCAGGACATTATGCAGACTGCCAGTTCACTCAGGCTGGGATTTTTACAGGAGTAAAATGTTGTGCTTCTTTACTGAGGGACGCTCAAAAAATCATCCTAATTAGTTTTTAAAGTGGATTAGTTAAACTGCATTAAACCCTGGTTTAGATGTATTTAATCAGAATTTTAAAAAGGGTATTATTTATTTGACTTGCTTCATCTCCAGAGTAAATTCAGATCAATCAAATTAAGGCCATTTTAATTCTGAATTATTGTCCACACAGAGGTTCAATGCAGTTTAATTAATCCATTTAGATTTCATGCTTTAGATCAGTGGTTTTCAACCTTTTTTCATTTGCAGACCCCTAAACATTTTTGAATGGAGGCGTGGACCCCTTTGAATTGTAAATGTGAGTTCACATACTTCTGATTGACCATAGTCATCTTTTGCAGACCCCTTAGACATAGTCTGTGGACCCCCAGGGGTCCATGGACCACAGGCTGAAAACCACTGCTGTAGATAATCTTGATTAAATGAAGGCTGTTGTGTATATAAGCCATTAATTACCAACGTCTACTGAATGCCAATGAGATCTTGAGCTATCATACGTTACTTTAATATTGCTTCCCCAGGATTCAAAGGAGGGAAGGGGACTAAGGGCATTTTATGGGTCTATTTCTACTATTCTTATATGCACATTCCAGTTCAGGCCCCTGGTTTTGTTTGGCTTGTTTTGAAATAGTGCTTTTTAAATCATGGCTGATGACTGGAGAACTTGGAACCAGGTGCTTTGTATTATTCCCTCTCCTCTAGATAACTGAGTGCAATGCTGCTCATCCACACAGGTGCAGACACCAGACAAAATCACCCCTTCCTGATCCGGAAGTCCTTTTTCATAGTTGCATCCAACCCTGTATTCTGCCAAAGAGGGCTCCTGCTAGGATCTCTCTGGGTGTTGTAAAATTCTGGGTCCTCTGCCCCCAAGTATACAAAATGTGTTTTGGTTTATCTTCTCAATAGCTGGACCGATGCAACCTTTTACCAATAACTTTTTATTCAAATCAGCAGAGTACCAGGATGTGAATTCAGTAAAAGGAACACTTAAGAGTTGGCCTTCTTGTCTGCATCAGGTTTTTGTTTAGCACTCTGTGCAGGGATGGGTACTTAAACACCACTTAAAAATGAGCCTTATTTCTAGCCTCAACTTGGATTTCTATTAATTGTATGCCTGTGATTCCTGGAGATGGTCATTTCTGGATAGTAATGAGACATCATCACAGGAAGTGACTTTATATGTCCACATGTAGAGTCAGTGCCAACATTTTAGGAAGTAAACAACATAGTAGAACTTTTTTTTAATAGCATCTCTCATGCTAACTCTCTAAAAAATTGGGATGGGATTTCACTGGGAGTCTGAGAGATTTATGCATCCAGTTCCTGTTGAAGTTCAAAGAGATGTGAGCACCTACCATCCTTCATCTCTTTCCTTTAGAAATGCCAACCTTAAGAATTAGTAGCACTGGGGGAGGGGAAAGAGGTCTTAAGTGGGGTCCAATGAAAATGGTGCATTAATGGTGGTGGTTTAATAGTATAAATTGAAGACACTATTTGAGGAATATTGTCCCTTGCTATTGGACAATGTATTTAACCAACTTTTTTTCTAGTATTCAACCAGATCTAAGGCTCACATCAGTAAGAAGGCTTCTGCTGGACAAGTGTAGGAAGCAGGGTAAGCACCAGAGATAGTCAGAGTCTCTGAGGACAGCTGAAAGCAAGTCTCTGATGAGCTTCAAAGCATGGAAGTTACTAAATGAAAGCTCAAATAGCAAAGGAAAACAAGGGGGTAGTTTGAAGCAGAGGGTGGTGTCATCACAGAATACATCAGAAGCAAGTTCTGCCAGTGCTGAAATCTGCTGAGATAGGATTTGGGGAAGCTGTAAAGGAGAAGAGATGCTGTAATTAGAACCTGAGGATTATTTCCAAGAATGTTATAGTGGCATAGCTGGTTGGCAGATAACACATCCATTGAGAGATGCTGCTTCCACTCAGCAGAATGCCTGTGTATTTCTGGATAGTGTATTTCATTTACCCCCTTCTGTTCTCTCCTTACTACGGTATGGGAGAAAGATGAGATCATGAAATATTAACTGTTACTAGCAGTAAAGCTCTCCTGATACTAAAATCCACTTACCCTCCTGCTGCTTTAACCATAAAGTGCTCTCCTCTAAACTTTCATTGCCTTCCTCTCATCCTTCTCCATCAAGCTCCAGGACTTGGAATGTTTTTCAAGACCTCTCATAGCCACAGCTGTGGACAAGATGGGGATTATGCTGGGGAGTATGTGCATGGTGATCCCAAGTGGCACTGGGAACCGTTGTGGGTGCTACCTGCACTTCCTGTGGCTAGAATGGAGCAGCTACTTCCTTCACCTCTCTCCTGCTAGCTGCCTCTAAGCTTTCAGAGAATGGAGAGAACTCCAATAGTCCTGGGTAGAGGCTCTGAGCCCAGTCCCGTGAGTTCCCATACTGGTGTCCTAAAGTGAAAGAAAGGAGAGGAAACAGCTTGTAGGCACTGGGCAGAAAGTAGGGAAGGAGTAAGCAGGGATGCAGTCTTTGAATGCTTGAGGAAGCAAAAGTTGGAGTGGGTGGTGCAGGGAACCAGGAAAGTGGAGATACTAGGAATGTGGGAGCTACAAAGGGATGGAGTGGGGAGCTGGAGGTGGGGAGTGGAGGAGCAAGGGAAGAAATGCAGGGTGCTGGACCTGGTTGTGTGTTGAAGTTGAACCTGCATGGTGGTGGGCACGAAATGCTGTGCATCTGGGTGGGGGTTTAGAACTTGTCCCTCAAATGTACTAAAAAGGGGGAGTGGTAAGATCAGAGATGTGTGTCAGGGGGAAGTGATTGAAGTATAGG